CATCATGAAGAGCCTCCACATTAATCAAACCCCGACCTCCAGAATTGATTGGCATATATAAACGGTTAAGAGAGGAACGAGGGTGGTGGGCTCTGTTATCAGACATGATCCTTCTGATCAGGCGGTCAAGACTCTGGATGTCTTGTTTCGTCCAGTCAACTACTCCAAAGGAATAGGAGAGGACAGGCACAGCAAAAGTATTGGTGGCTTTGACCTTGTTACGAGCATTTAGCTCTGAGCTCCAGATTTTCTTTAAACGAGATTTGTACTCGGCCCGAAGTTTTTCTTGAATTTGGGCATTCTGTAGCTTGTCTCGAACTTGCATTCCAAGATAGGTGTAGGCCTCATCTTCCACAAGATGCTCAATAACTCTTTCCCCCTGTAACTTGACCGATCCACCATTAACTACCTTGCCACGTTTCAAATGGAGAGTATTACATTTGTCAAGTCCAAATGTCATGCCAATATCATTAGAAAAGGATTCGACAAGGAGAACCTGTTCTTTCAAATTGGTATCTCCTTTGGCAAGGAGCTCGATGTCATCCATGTAAAGGAGATGAGTAAGTGGTGTTGGGGATCTGTGCTGAGGAGGTCCGGGATGGTAACCCAGCTCTCTGTTGAGCAAAAAGCTCAAAGGATTTAGAGACAAACAAAAAAGCAAAGGACTGAAGGAGTCCCCCTGGAAAATTCTCCTTCTGATTGGAATAGATTCCGAAGTCCGCACCTGCCCTTGCGAGTACATCTCAAGTTGAGTCGACCAGCAACTCATTAAAGATTTGAGTAAATCAAGTAGTCACTCCGGGAGGTCTTATTATTATTATTGTTATATTATATTTATTATTCCGCCGATTTTTTTACCAAATCACACAGATGCGCACCGAGGTGTAGATATTCCCCTTAAAAATCTCTAGGCTCTAGGTCCAATAGCAAAGGGGAGATAATTCAAATTAATTCCAAAATTTCAGTTTGACAGCAAATATCTCAAGAACTAATTGTTCCAACACTTCCAAATCTCTTGTACAGATGCACAATCGAATTCCCAACAATTTTGCAGTTATATTTGTTTTCAGTTTTGGGCCATGTTTTTCAGTAGAATTCTGAGTAGTTTGCTCCCGAAATGTGCAAATTCTGCACAAAAAGTGCCAGTATGGTAGATGAAGGCTTGGTAATTCCAGAACACTAATTGTTATGACCGTAGACCCAAGAACAACTGAGATACAGCCTTTTAAAGAGGGAACTTTTTCTTCTCCAGAACTTGACCACCGCGACCCCGGCTGTATTTGGAAGATCCGCTCGCCTGTCAAAAACGTGTTCTGGCTCCGTTTTGGACGATGATTTCTCAGATATCCTCAGATACAATAGATAGAACTAAAGCCGAGGAGCCCTCATCGTTGCCTGCAACTCTATTTACACCATGTGTTTACGACCACCAACAAACAGTGGTCTTACCATGTGTTCGTTAAATTGTGAATGGCGCCATTTTGCCATCATCATTTTTCTACCCATGACTGCGGCAGCGTGTTTGATAAGCCAGAAACAGATTCAGCATCCTTGCCTTGGCAGTTGGATGTCTTATAAATTGTCACTGCACCTAAAATACACATTATCAATACATCCCAAATACACTATGTCGAATTTAATAGTATTCTCCGGATATGCTAAAACACATCAGTTGTCGATGCTGTCGTAGCACAAGTTAAAATATGGAATTGAATCAGACACCATTATTGTCACTGGTTCGTCAAGTTTGGAACTGTCTTCCACATGTCTGTCATTACATGTTTTAAATGCCTGCTCGGTAGCATAACCACCAACGGTTGCAAACACATCAGATGTCGATCATGTCCTAGTACAAGTTAAAATATGGAATTGACATCATTATTGTCACAGATTCGTCAAGTTTGGAAATGTCTTCCAAATGTCTGCCATAGTTCATATCATCAAACATATTTGCAGTGATAATTTTGAAACGCCTTCGCAGAAAGTGCCTACTTGACGTTACCAAAAGCCAACGGCATATGACTCGACAAAATATAAACGTATTTGGAAATTGAAGTCTTAAACGTTTGGCAAACGTTTTGTCTATCTGAATCATTATGTCTATTGCGAATGTATAACAAATGCAGCGGCTTGAATAGTCTCGTATATGTATGTGTATGCATGTTACTGCATTTGTGCTTGCGTTGAAATTCCTACTACTTAAAGAGTCAGATATGGGGAGCACAGCCAGTTCATACTCCTTACTTTTGTATCTTGTCCATACGCATGAATGTTATCAATGGGAAATGTACATACTTCTAGACATGTATTTATTATTTATTATCATTCTGCAAACTACTGACTTGACCTTATCATTTGATTGATGTGACATTTCATTACTATTTTTAAAACGGGCCATGAATACTGTAGAGGTACAGTCCATAATGAATCAGTGCATGTCGACTGGAAGAACTGGTGCTGACAACACGGGGGGGACACACTGTTATAGATAAAGTGACCATATTTATTGTGAGTTTTTAGCTAGTTTGCAGAGGAAGCGTCTTTACATTTGGACGTGGTGTTTCTCTGGCATCACTTCATGATGAAGTGTCTAGGTGACAGAGGGTCCATGCTTCTGACATTAGCAACATATATTGCATTGTCAACGTGCTGGAAGTGCAACTTTTTTGAAAAAGGTAACTGGAAATACAATTCTGTCACAATTGGGAACATTGGTTTTAAGTTGTGCCAGATAAGATGTATTGAAATAGGATGCTGTTTGAGTTTTGAATACGGCTTGGAACATCTAAGTTGCCACCTACTCACCACTGAACCAAGGAATATCAAGAAGAAGGCAGGCTACACATTTCATCGTAAGAATCATGCTGACGTAAGTTAAACACATGTTCTTCTATTGGAATTATATATAATTATTTATTTTAGTAAATGACGTGGAATTATGTTAATGGGTACACTTTTTTATTTTTAGAAACATAATTTCATCAATACAAGATTATGAATTTGCAATGTTTGTTTTTTTCGCATGCACTTTTAGACACAGTGTGTACTGTGTTAATTTAAGGAATTGTAAATAGGACATTATAGGAATTGTAAATATAAATGACCCGTAAATATCTGGGTTAGACTTGGTCTTCAGCAACGACACCTACATAACAATATGAACAATACTCGCGATTTATATACGTTCCAAATTGACGAGGATATCCAAACACACACATACAAAAACAATATATGTTTACAGGCACTCTCACATGAACTGCATACAAATCGGATGTATTTCAGCGTTATCCACACCATATGTTCAGGCACATAGGAAACATGGCCTTCCTTCATATAGTATTCCCAGAAATGATTGAGAAAGCTGTTTCGGCAAATATCTAATACATGTCTATAGACTATACACATTTTACGTTAAAAGAATATGTTGAGATATGATTCTCTTACAGTCTTTTCAGGATTTTGTGAGACCTTCTTGCCCTGCAATACACAAATAATGCGCCAAGGTACACTACCGATCAGATTTTGTAGGAAATCGTGTGACAGCGTATCCCAATATTCGACCACCTCTTAAAGAATCAGATAATCACACCCTTCTCAAAATCATCTAGAACAAGCTGTCTTTCGTCATATGCTGTCAAATCTGTCATGTCAACAAGGGAAGCCGTCTGCTACATCAGGACAGATAACTCTCTAATGTAATAAGGGTCATTATTAAGCTTTCAAGAGTTCCTTACTACATAATGTAACACCAATCATAAAATTCTATTACCAGTAATAGGAAACAAAAGACATTCTCATTATAATCATACAGTTTTTGTACTTCTCACCAAAGGTTCCGACCAGCCCTTGTTTAGTCAATCCTTGCAGTTTCAAGTATCGATGTGTAGTGGCACTATCTGGAAAAGCAGTTTGTGTTACAGGTAAATATCTCATTCTATTGATGATGTTGAGAACCATTGTTCGGATTCCTCGAAACTATGAAAGCCAAACAGTGCCACTTTGGTAGCAGAACTAAAGTATTGTCGAAGGAAATTTTTCGTTATTTCATTTTTTGTTAATATTTTCGAAATATTAATTCTTTTATAAAATGTGATATTTTTTAGAAAACTCGTAGATTTGACGGTTCTTCTAAACTCCACGTTTCAATAGAGTTCTCGGAACTTTGTAAATTCAGTTATTTTCTCGTAATTTCAATTATTGTCTCATCAGTCCAAGTGTTTTTATCAAAACTTGAAATTTTGTGCAAATTATTGAAAAACTATCGGTAAAACAACTATGAGTGGGTCACTACATCCAGTGATGACACCCGGTGTTTGTCAAAATGGTTGCTCGTCCTTTAGCATCCGCCACAATTTTCAGTAAATGCAAGTATTTTTTATTGGTCGCCATACTCATGGACACTCCTACCATACTAAATTGGTCTGTGAAGAAATGGTCTTGGTCAGACAATCCAGTAATCAGTACCATGACCAGTGATCCATGTTTTCGTGGAACGACACCATGCTATCAAAGAATTCCTTCCATCACAAACCTCCAAGGCAAAGTGTTATATAGACGTCCGGTTATTCTTTTTATATAATTGTCATTCATTCATTCATTCATTCATTCATTCAGATGGAAGGCAGTTCTCTCCTCAACGATACATACCAGATCAGCTATGTGGCCAGGAGTGGGGGTCGGCTGACCACCAGCTCAATGATGCTTTCTGGGAGGGGGACATGAACATTGTAGAGCGCACCTTGTCAGAAGGACAGATAGACATCAACAGAAGGGACGGGAGGGGGCGGACACCATTGATGGTGGCAGCGTGTGCAGGACACATGGACGTGGTAAAGCTTCTTATCAGCAAAAGAGGTAAAGAGGCACTTGTTGCCAATAACGGTAACAACATTCTCCATATGGCAACATGTGGAGGACATGTGGCGATAGTAAAGTATGTCCTATCACAGAAGATGGTGGACATCAACAGTAGAGGGAAGGACGGGAGGACACCCGTGATGATGGCAGTAGCCAGAGGTCACAAAGATGTGTTTGTCGTTCTTGTTAGTGAAGGAGCTGATTTGTCATTGGGAGATACTAATGGAAAGAACATCCTGCATTACGCCTGTGCTGGGGGGCATGTGGACATGATTAAATATGTCCTTTCACTGAGCAAGGTGGACATAGATAGTACAGCAAACGCCGGTCTCACGCCAGTCATGGTGGCAGCAAGTCTAGGAAACAGAGAAATGTTTGACATACTTATGAGTAAAGCGTGTGATGTGTCACTGGCGACAAGATCAGGTTCCAACATCCTCCATATGGGTTGCTGTGGAGGACATTTGGAGATGGTTAAGTACATTATCTCACAGGATCTTGTGGACATTAACAGTAGGCGTTGGGATAAGAAAACACCACTGCTGATCTCGGCAAAACTGGGGCATGGAGAAATGTTTGAATTTATCGCCAGTAGAGGGGGAAACATGTCAATGATGACAAAAGCAGGCAAGAATAGCCTTCACCTACTCTGTAAGTTTGGCAACATTGAGGTTGTGAAGTTTGTTCTTTCCAAGGACCTTCTGGACATTAACGCCAAGACCAAGAAAGGGGAAACAGCAGCTATGATTGCAAAACGAAGCAGGAACACTCAAGTGTATGACTTTCTCGTGTCACATGGTGGTCAATAGGTAGCCTCATACGAACCATTGCTCCATGATTTGTCATATTGTACCATTAGTGGAGATAAATGTGTCATACACGTTGCCAATGAACATTGCATAGATTGATGCTCATGGTGCTGATCACTGGATTGTCTGGTCGATTATTTATAGACTGATGCCATGCAGCTGGAATATATTGCTGAGCGCGGCATTAACAACAAACATGTGTACCCTCATGTGAACCATTACTCAAAGATTTGCTGTAGTTTACAATCAGTGGAGATAAAAACATTACAAAACGTTTCTTCCTTATAAAGGCCACAGGCCCAAGTACAAAAACTCACAAAATAATAATGATAGTGACAAAATGGTCAGATACACCTTTTAAGCACTTCTTAACCTTAAAGCGTCTTTTACAAACTTTCCTAAGTTAATTAGGATATTCACTTTATCAAATAGAAGGATGTTTCCAGAAATCTTGAGGAATACACTTTTGTCTTAAAATAGAATAAACTTTACATATTAACAGAAAATGGTATTCATCTTTTATACATCCATTCATACATACATTACAAAATCGCTCATCACGAACAATACCGCAACGTCTACCAACGTTTATCATTAAAGGCACTTCCCCAGATCTTAGCAACAATAAATGCCTTCTCTATTCGCGACCCTTTAGAGTGGATAAATAATATTCAACTGTCAATAGAGATTTATATTCTTGAAAGAACCATAACTTATTTGATTCACAAACTTTAGAAAACAAATCTTGCTGGTGGCAATCTTTAACTCTTTGCACAAACTTATTAAGAAATAAAGAACAATTACCAACTTCCTGAGAGATCCAAACAAATCCAAAACCATAAGAAAAAAGTACCATTTTAAACTTCGAAGCCCATGTAACACGATTACAGTCGTCTAAAGATTTACAAAGAAGATAGCTTTGCTTAGGATATCTATGATTAGGCATTGGTAGCAACTTTAAACAATACTGAATACATCTTTTATGACAATCAACAAATAAGCCATATCTACCACATTCATCAAGTGGAGCAACATAAGAGACATAACCACCTACACCAATAACATATTTACAAAACTTACTATGAAAACGCTCGATGCATTCAATTTTTAAATGACCCCACACTTCACTAGAATAGAGTAAGATTGGCTTAATCTAAGCATAAAATATTAAAGAATAAAAAAATTACACGATGCCAATGAACATTCATTCCCTGTTATCTATAGAACCATCCTTCTTCATTAATCGATATGGCAAATATCATAGATTCAGATCGTGCTGTTTGGTTCTGATGACGATAGTTAGTGGAATAACCGGTGAAGATCCGTGTTAGAATTGGTTTTTAACGAGTCATGTTTGTCGTAAAAGGCGACTAACGGGATCGAGTGGCTAGGCTCGCTGATTTGTTTGACACACCGTATCCCATTTGCGTAGTATGATGCTCATGATGTTGATCAGAGAGAGAGAGAGAGAGAGAGAGAGAGAGAGAGAGAGAGAGAGAGAGAGAGAGAGAGAGAGAGAGAGATAGAGATAGAGATAGACATAGAGAGAGAGAGAGAGAGAGAGAGATTATTGACCTATTGTTGTTTTAGGCAAACGTTTGGAAAGTTGAGTGGAATATTGAGTATTGTCGGTTATCATGACAAGGTTAACTCTGACGGAGAGGCATATGGATATTCGGCTACCGCTGCACCCTCACCCATGAACAGGCACGTTTTCAATCTGTGATCACTACGACATGTATGTACGAAGTGCGAAGAATCACAATAGGAAGTGTCTGTGTGTACATTCCTACGTGCCCTATCTTTGCACCTTACAGTCTACTTGGCTGGTTGTCAAATAGGGAGGTGCTCATTACCAAATATTAAAGTGAACCGATTCAGGTGCAGACCTTTTGTCGAGATTCGTCTAAACGCTGTACAGCAAATGTACGAAAGCCTAATAACTCCACTTTTTTAACGCAACATATTTTCTCAGCAACATTTCTCGTTGCTTCGATTATTTTGTCAGTGCTTGGAAGCATTTCCTCTTTATTTCATATCATGAACAACATGAGCATCAATCTACACAACTGGGATACGATTACATGTGTCAACCAAGTCAGCGAGTCTGACCACCTGATCCAGTCAGTCGCCTCTTACGACAAGCAAGGGTTACTGTAGACAAATTCTAAATTCCTAATACAGAGAGAGAAGTCTTGACAAGGCCTCTGCTTGATTGTTGCTGCATTATAAAAGCAGGAAATTGTACACTACTAATTCTTAACATTTACAGTGCTGGACCATTTACATTCTGAACTGATATTGTCAGAAATTAAGCAGGAGATCCTTCCTTAGTCACCAGCTAAAATTCAGAGTTGTATTAATTGGAAACTTTTTATTACCAATAATATGTCTCAATGTTCTGTCCAAAATAAACTGGACCCGTGAAGGTCCGGGTTAGAATGAACCTTCAGTAACCCATGCTTGTCGTAAGAGGATACTAACGGGATCGGGTGGTCAGACTCGCGCACTTGGTTCACACATGTCATTGGTTCCCAATAGCGCAGATCGCTACTCATGCTGTTGATCACTGGACTGTCTGGTCCAGACTCGATTATTTACAGACCACCGCCATATAGCTGGAATATTGCTGAGTGCGGTGTAAAACTAAACTCACTCACTCACCCAAAATAAACTGAATATTTCTGAAGAATTAACCAGCTTGGAATGGTTCATACAACATGTTATTTCATTCGATATGTACTAACAGACTAATGACAAAACACACCCCACCTTGCTTTGTCTCACTTTGCCCTCTCCAGTAGGACATCCTGGCAGACTTGAACACCAGCATGAGCATGGTAACACTGAGCCCTGAGGGGAAAGTGTAAAACTGATCCTCAATCATCATTGACTATGTGACATTGAATATTAACCACCACCATAAATGAAACATGAATCTGATATTTTTGGTTAAAGTGCACCACCCCAAAGGATTCATCAATGTAATACTTTAGTTATTTTACATATAGTGGTACTTTGTATGTATATACGTTTATACACAATAGGATGTAATTAATGTACCATTGTAAACCTAAACATTGTGATAACCAAGAGCTGTCATTGGACCAACAATGTCCATACCCATCTGAACTTCACTTGTTGAATAATATTAACATACTTAGACCAAAAGAATATTATCCCAGTGCATATATACACAAGTATGTAAAAAAAGAAGCGATTCAATTCAAAACAAGTCGATGTTGGAATGAATTAATTATAAAGCAACATGCTAGAGTTTTATTCCTCAGGACATGCATACATTTGGTAGGTAAGACATCATCCTCCACGATTCTCTTTTTGCATGGGGTCTCAGAAGCCTCTGGGTGTGCTTGTCTTTGTCGAGGTGATGGCCTGGGCTTCAAGGGCGTGTTGATTACCGAGACTGGGTCGGGAAAATCCACAGTTGGTCCACGGTCACCTGGCAGGATATTTATAAATCAACTGTAGTTCACACAAGCACTACAACGGCAGTTTAAACCTATGCATAGGTGCACTATTCACACCATGTAACCACTTATACATTTGTGGGGTTTTGTTTTAAGCAATTGCATTAATTAACGATATTTACAATATTCAACTTGTACATTGTATCATATTCATACGAAACTCACCTACGAAAGTGTTTGGAACAAACGTGTGTGCATCGTGATTTTTTGGGCATCAAATCCCTCTCGACCACAGGCTCTCGGCCACCTCAAACATTTCCCCAGTTGACTCTTCGGCTTTGGAAAAGGAATTAAAAAAACACGTTTTCCATCTCATGGCGATCCTTCTATCTGTTATCAGACTTGCAAATTAAGAGTAGTGGTAAGGCATCTTCAGCTTCTCTCGGTATACGCGTCAGACAGCGGTCGTTGCATAGTCAAACACGATAGAAGGTTTGACAGCCGTTTGTTTTGACAGTTTGGCCGCGGTCACGTGGTTTTGCAAAGGAACATCACTCTAAACGAACTTCCGTAAAACTGGAAAATGGTTTATTGGGAAGTTCTATGTTGATGGTCGACAATGAATAACTCTGAAATGGTGATGGTACAATTGTTTCTGGAAAAGGTCATCACACCTCCCCTCCACTCCACCGCCAACAGTTACAAACACATCAGATGTCGATCATGTCCTAGTGCAAGTTAAAATATGGAATTGACATCATTATTGTCACAGATTCGTCAAGTTTGAGAATGTCTTCCACATGTCTGCCATTGTTCATATCATCATATTTGCAGTGATAATTTTGAAACGCCCTTCGCAGAAAGTGCCTATTTGACGTTACCAAAAGCCAACGGCATATGACTCGACATAAAATAAAAGTATTTAAGAATTGAAGTCTTGAACGTTTGGAGAACGTTTTGTCTATTGCGCATGTATAACAAATGAGGCGGTTTGAATAGTCTCATATATGTATGTGTATGTATGTTACTGCATTGGTGCGTGCGTTGAAATTCCTACTACTTAAAGAATCAGTTATGGGGAGCACAGCCAGTTCATATGTGGACTCCTTACTTTGGTATCTTGTCCATACGTATAAATGTGATCAACGGGAAACTTACATATACTTCTAGATATGCATTTATTATTTATTGTCATTCTGCAAACTACTGACTTGACATTATCATTTGATTGATGTGACGTTTCATTGCTATTTTCACAACGAGTCAAGAATACTTCAAAGGTACAGTCCATAATGAATCAGTGCATGTCGCATCAAGTGTGGTTCTTCTTTAGAATGGGAGAGTTGATATTGAGTTTTAGCTGGGAAGAGTGTTTACATTTGGTCGCTGTGCTTCTCTGGCAGCACTTTATGATGAAGTGTCTAGGTGACAGAGGGGCCATGCTTCTGACTTTAGCAACATATATTTCATTGTCAGCGTCCAGGAAGATATAAAGTGCAACGTTTTTGAGAAAAGTGACACGAAATGCCATTCTGTCACAGTTGGGTACATTGGTTTTAAGTTGTGCTAGGT